CAAACACACCGCCTGGGCAACGAAGGAGTGGCTTCGTAAGAAGCATTTCAAGGTCCTGGAGTGGCCTAGCCAGTCTCCAGATCTCAACCCCTTAGAAAATCTTTGGAGGGAGTTGAAAATCCGTGTTGCCCAGCGACAGCCCCAAAACATTACTGCTCTAGAGGAGATCTGCATGGAGGAATGGGCCAAAATACCAGCAACAGTGTGTGAAAACCTTGTGAAGACTTACAGAAAACGTTTGACCTCTGTCATTGCCAACAAAGGGTATATAACAAAGTATTGAGATGAAATTTTGTTATTGACCAAATACTTATTTTCCACCATAATTTGCAAATTAATTCTTTAAAAATCCTACAATGTGATTTTCTGGATTTTTTTTTCTCATTTTGTCTCTCATAGTTGAGGTATACCTATGATGAAAATTACAGGCCTCTCTCATCTTTTTAAGTGGGAGAACTTGCACAATTGGTGGCTGACTAAATACTTTTTTTCCCCACTGTATTTGATTTAAAAGTAAAAAAGTGTGATTTAAAAATATTTGATTAAGTATCGTTATATTATAATTTAAACATTTATTTTAGTGCTGGGCAATGATTAATCGTGATTAATCGCATCCAAAATAAAAGTGTTTGTTTACATAGTATATGTGTGTGTACTGTATATATTTATTATGTATATATAATGACACACACATGCATGTATATATTTTGAATATATTTACATGTATATATTTATATTCACATAATTTATATTATATATAAATATATTTAATATATAAACAATATATACATGCATGCATGTGTGTGTATTTATATATACATAATAAATAAACACATATATATACTATGTAAACAAAAGTTTGGATGTGATTAATCACGATTAATCGTTGCCCAGCACTGATTTATTTAAATAATAAATATATGTATTTAATACATTTGTATGCTTTATATTATATTCAAATATCTATGTAATAAAATGACTTATGCAGTTTTTTTATTATGTATATAAGCAATTATTTGTCAAATTAATTTTAGAATTGGATTTCATAAATACTAAATATTAGATTTTTTTAAAATAATAAAATATTGTTATTATTATCATTATCATCATAATATGAATTTATGTATTAACATAAATGTCTGTTATTTATTAATATATTGTGAATATTAATTTATTAATCATTAGTTATATATTATAAATATAGAAATACATTTGAATATTTAACTTATAATAATGATTTATACATTTATGTTTGCGTTTATTTGCTATTTATAGTTATTATAATATTGTATTTGTGGGTCAATAAAAATGTTTAAATTAATAAACTAGGTATCTAAGCACGTATTTGTCAAATTGATTAATAAATTAGGATTTTATGATATTAAGTATTATATTATATTATATAATAAAGTATTGTTATTATAAAATGTGTATTACTTAGTAATATATTATCAATATTAATTATTTATTATAAACACAGATATAAATTTGAATGTTTAATTTATAATAATAATTAAGACACTTATGTTAGTATTATTAATTATACCAATTATATTATTATTTTATTTAATAAAAATTAAATAATAGCCATAATGTACACTTCCAGTGTAGACGGCTTTGCAGTGTTGATTTGCATTGCTTTGGTTGTCGTTCACGCCCGCTGCAGACAGAGTGATCTTTTTGTAGACATATTTTTTTGTATATATTTAAACTCCTATTATATTGATATAATGATAATTTTCTTGATGTGAGACTGGCGTTTCCATCTCTGCTAGCATATATGATCATTTATTAAGCTTTATTTAATGCATCTTATATGTGACCCTGCAGCACAAAAGCAGTGTTGAGTCGCTGGGGGATATTTGTAGCAATAGCCAACAATACATTGTATGGGTCACAATTATACATTTCTCTTTTATGCCAAAAATCATTAGGATATTAAGTAAAGATCATGTTCCATGAAGATATTTTGTAAATACTGTAAATATATCAAAACTTAATGTTTGATTAGTAATATGCATTGCTAAGAACTTCATTTGAACAACTTTAAAGATGATTTTCTCAATATTTAGATTTTTTTGCACCCTCAGATTCCAGATTTTCAAATAGTTGCATCTCAGCCAAATATTGTCCTATCCTAACAAACCAATGGAAAGCTTATTTATTCAGCTTTCAGATGATGCATAAATCTCAATTTCGAAAAAAATTGAGCCTTATGACTGGTTTTGTGCTCCAGGGTCACATTAGTCAGTCACCGTCTGTCAGATTTGGTGCTGATGGGACATCTGTGCCTCCGATGAGCCGTTTTTAAGGTCACTGCGGCCTGAACGTGTGGCGTGGAGCCCCAGCTCGCTCTCAGCCGCGCAGATGGATGAAGACGCGGCCAGATTGTCTTATAAATCACGCTTTTTCTCGCTCGAGAAAGTCTGGAGACTTCTTAGAGCAACTGGCTGCACGTTTTTGCAGTCACGACTTCATGTGAGACATTTGTGTGTTTGTGAACCTCTAACCTTCAACCTAACCTCACCTAACCTGACTTTGTCTCTAGCGGGAACAAAACAAGCTACTTCTGCTGCCTCGACGTCCCTGATACTAACCAAACACTGACGCTCCCCGATCCCCTCCTTAACTCCTAAAATATACAGAACTACTCGAAATGAGGAATATTTTGCCTGCGTGTTGAAACGCCGTCGACTGTGAGCCTCAAAACACACATAAGCGTGAATTATTCAGCACCTTTCTCGCAGATTCGTTCATTTGTGTGGTGTGTTGCTGTTAGGAGGATCATTAGTGAAAACTCTTATTTACACTCGCTTTACTGGGTTTTGTTCGTCAAGGCACAGCGTTATTCCAATAATTATTTTAACCCCATTTGTACAGCCAAGCAAAAATAAATTCAAATAATAAAATAAAAGAATAAAGCATTTAATTGTGCTATATGAATTAATAATTGACTTTAATTATTTTAATGATCATTTACATCCAAATGTTTATTCATTAAATATTTGTATATAATTAATTAATGCTATATTATTATAGAAATTGCAAATTAGATTTAAAAATGAAAAAGTAAATAAAACAATATTAAATAATGTATCATATTTGATTTAAAATAGTTTTATTGTAGTATTTACTGTATAAAGAAAATGTTATTATAATAGATCAATAAATAATATAATATTGTCAGTATAAAAAGTAGATCTCTTTTATTTAAGTTCTGTTTATTGTATTTTGTTTGTCAAGGCACAGAATTATTCTAATAATTATTTTAATCCTACTTAAATTTATTTTAAATAATTTATATATTGTAGATTCATTAATTTGTCATTTATAATTTACAAAGAGTAATTATTACTATTATAAATATAGTTTTTTTCCCTTTGTAGAACCTAGCAAAATAATAAAAACAATTATAGTTAATAATGTACTGTATTTTAATTATGTTAATTATATTTTATTTATCAGTGTATTATATATTATTTAGTATATCATTTATGTAATTCATTATTATTATAGAAACTGCAAAATGGAATTAAAAATACTAATAAAACGATGTATACAATTTTATCAGTTTATTTCATTCAAAGTTATTTTTAGGAGTATTTATGAAAAAGTGCGCTTGAGGGGTTAATATGAGGCTGATGGAGAAGCAGGCAAAATATCCTTCACGCTCACGACGACCTTCATGCTTCTGCTGGACAAAGAGCTCAGTGAGCGACAGGGTTTCAGAAATAATGCTGCAGCGCTCCATTGTGAGCCGTTCAAGACAGGAAGACAAAGGCCAAACATATCAGGTTACTTATTAATATTACCATACTGTATTCACTATATTCAGTAGTCTAGTAGTTGATGCTAACCATTAAAGGATATCTTTAAAGGAACACTCCACTATTTTTGAAAATAGGCTCATTTTCCGACTCCCCTAGAGTTAAACAGTTGAGTTTTACCGTGTTCGAATCCATTCAGCCGATCTCTTGTAAAATAAAAAAATTATAATTAATAAAAAATAAAACATTGTTTTAAAATGTACTATATAAATTAATTTATTTTAATGAAATTTTACATATTGTTTATATAATAATATAATAAAAATATAAAATTATATATTAATAACTATTTTAAAATTGAGTATTTAAATATTTATATTATTTATATAATTTTTATATTATACTATTTATATAATTTTATATTATTTGTATGATTAATATTATTAATTAATAGATTTTTATATAATATATGATTTAATACATCTATTATTATAAAAATACTCTTTTTCTTTGCCGAGCTATTAATAACTATTTTAAAATTGAGTATTTAAATATTTATATTATTTATATAATTTTTATATTATACTATTTATATAATTTTATATTATTTGTATGATTAATATTATTAATTAATAGATTTTTATATAATATATGATTTAATACATCTATTATTATAGAAATACTCTTTTTCTTTGCCGAGCAGCCTAGCAAAAAAAATTTAAAATCTAATAATAATAAAAAAAATACATTTAATAATGTGAACATTAATATGAATTCATAATTTTATTATTTTACATTTTTATACTTATTTTCTATTATTTATTCATTTATTTATATTGATATTTATAATGCATCAATTTATTCTATTTATAAATAATTAACTGACTTTAAATATTTAAGAAGAAAATATTATTATTATTATTATATTGTAATTATGGTCAACTACTTAATTTAATAACTTCTTTTTTTATTATTATTTTCTTTAGCGTCATTAAACTTTTACAGTCTGATCAAATTGTTTGTAAGCATTTAGGAAGTAGAAATAGGAAAAGAAAGAAGAAGCTCCACGTCCAGCACTGGAAGGTCTTTAACCTTTACTAAAGTTGTGATGATGATGATGATGATGATGATGATCTTAAACTAAACTAACCAGTACATGAGGAGAATCATAACCTGGGCTGACATTAACCATCAACTAAACTGATGTGTGTTTCGTTTTGTGTCTTTTTCCAGAGAGTACTCCCATCCGAGGTAAGACATCACTATAAAACACAACTAACCTTAACCTAACCACTAACTAATGACTCCAGACGAGCTCAAACGGGACGGGCTGTCCTCCTCCTCCTCTTCTTTCAAATGATATATTAATAACTATTTTAAAATTGAGTATTTAAATATTTATATTATTTATATAATTTTTATATTATACTATTTATATAATTTTATATTATTTGTATGATTAATATTATTAATTAATAGATTTTTATATAATATATGATTTAATACATCTATTATTATAGAAATACTCTTTTTCTTTGCCGAGCAGCCTAGCAAAAAAAATTTAAAATCTAATAATAATAAAAAAAATACATTTAATAATGTGAACATTAATATGAATTCATAATTTTATTATTTTACATTTTTATACTTATTTTCTATTATTTATTAATTTATTTATATTGATATTTATAATGCATCAATTTATTCTATTTATAAATAATTACTGCCTTTAAATATTTAAGAAGAAAATATTATTATTATTATTATTATTATATTGTAATTATGGTCAACTACTTCATTTAATAACTTCTTTTTTTATTATTATTTTCTTTAGCGTCATTAAACTTTTACAGACTGATCAAATTGTTTGTAAGCATTTAGGAAGTAGAAATAGGAAAAGAAAGAAGAAGCTCCACGTCCAGCACTGGAAGGTCTTTAACCTTTACTAAAGTTGTGATGATGATGATGATGATGATGATGATGATGATCTTAAACTAAACTAACCAGTACATGAGGAGAATCATAACCTGGGCTGACATTAACCATCAACTAAACTGATGTGTGTTTCGTTTTGTGTCTTTTTCCAGAGAGTACTCCCATCCGAGGTAAGACATCACTATAAAACACAACTAACCTTAACCTAACCACTAACTAATGACTCCAGACGAGCTCAAACGGGACGGGCTGTCCTCCTCCTCCTCTTCTTTCATTCTGTGTCAGTGTGTGTGTGTGTGTGTGTTTCACGTGTGTGTTTAATGTCAGTGTTGGGAGTCAGACAGGTGTCGGGTTGCACTCGGGCCACACGATTCACGCTAATGAGGACGCTGGGTAAACGTGACGCTGCTTTCCTTTCAGTCCTGATCTCATCTCCAGCGGTCCACGCGAATACCAACACTGACGTGACACAAACGTTAGCAATAGTTCATCAAATTTACTTTTCCGACTCAGATGTGCAGTTTGGAGGTGATATCAGGACTGATGTTTGCTCCTGATCTAGATCCATGTTCATTTCATAATATCTGAAGACTATGTGATGTCTCTAACTTGAATAAAGTGCTTTTTTTTTCACAGTGAGCAGGCAGGTAAACATCAACCGTATGATTTTACATTCATGTGCGGGGTAAACGAAGGGTTAACAGCTACACTTTAACTGTAATAACATTTTTGCACTGCTTTAAATTATTTTGTGAAATTTTTTTTTTTTAGATGTTGGTCAATTTTGTATGTTTACGGGTGCCTAAATTGCTAAAGATTGTGAGTGAAACTCTGTGTATATGTAGACTATATGTATATACAGTATACTATAATTGAATCATAATAGTATACAATAATTTAAATGTATATAGATAGACAGACAGATTATAGATAGATAGATAGATAGATAGATAGATAGATAGATAGA